TTGCTAGGAACGTATTTTGAGAAATAACTCATAAGAAAGTGGTTTAGGGTAATTTCTATATGTTGGTTATGTATAAATACTGAAAATATCCTTTACCTTCTTATAAGAATGAAGACGTATAGCCACCAAGAGATCTTCTGGCCCTGCTCACCCCTCAGGATCCCTCTTACGCAAAATTCCTTATAGGTTGGGCAGTTTTTTGCTTGGTTGCTTCCGTTGTTGGAGAGCTCATCACCTAATGAGGGAAGCCATTCCCTTTTTACATCCCTGGGGATGTTAAATGTGTTCCTTACCTTGAGCTGTGCTCTGCTTCACTTAACCTGTTCATTGCTCTGAGGTCTGAGGCCACACAGAACAGCTAAGTGGAAGGTGCCCTTCCCCTGAAGATGACTGCGTATCTCCTAAACATTCTTTCCCAGATAAACACCGCCGGTCTTCTAGGGGACTCAGGAATGGCATCACTTACCCTCACCTTCCTGACCTGCTGTGCTTGTTGTAGCTCACAGGAAGCGAAGTGCAAACATGTGTTCTGCCCTTCATGTGGCCTGTGCCCTGGCCTCCACTTACGCCAGCTCGGGCAGCTGCGGCTTCTGACCACCCCTCCCCCCTTCCGAATCCTATGCTGTTGGCTCTCGCTGTTTCATTTTCTCTTTTAGCCTAAGAACCTTCACATTTCATTTTAACCCAGTGAGTTTCGTTTTCCTGGCTATCTGGTTCTTTTGGAATCTTTCTGTGAGCCTCTCTCTCAGGCGTTGCTGCCACCCTTTCTTGGACATTTTGGAATGAGCTCTCCATTCCAGTTAGGTGCCCTGTCATCTGAATCTCCCACCTCCTTTTCCGTTCTTCCACATCATGCCACGTCACACCTGGGCTGTGAAGACCCTTGCGGGAGCGACTGACCACAGGATGGATTTACCACGTGGGGATGAGCGTGCAGATGGGGTCTTTCCCGGCGTGCCTGAGGTCTGTCTTTGCAACCTCGCCCCTGCCACTTCCTTTGCCCACTCCTGAAAAGACAAAGGGCAGTTTTTCCCCTTTGGCAAAGAGAATTGCCCTGTCTTGGAACGTTCAGGCATTCCCCTATGCCCTCTCCATTTAGCCAGTCTTTGATATCTCCATCTTTCAGGTGCCAGTTTAAATTTCATTTCAAAGAAGCCACCTCTAGCTTCCCCTAGGTAGTTAGTCCTTTTCTTTGCTGCCCCAGGGGCATGTGGGCCCCACATTTCTATTAACACATCACCATTTAACTTCCTTGTCTGTCTTCGTTCACATTGGCCTATCACCTGAGGGCACCGAGCTTGGCCCAGTCAGTGGACTTGGCCTTCATCTTGGTGGTTTTCCCACTTTTGTGGAGGAAAACCACGCTTGCCTCTAGAACTTTCGGTTCACAGCTGGGGTCCTTGGCCAGGTATGGTGGTGCCTGAGAGCCCCCTGGACAGGTGTGAGGATTTTGTGTATGAATACATTTTCTGGAGACAGGATTCATGTCCCCACGTGTTCTGACCCATTGTTTGCTTCTCTCTTGGGATCAGCTCCTGAAGTAAGCACCTGAATCTCTCATCAGGCTACTCATTGGCGTCACCCAGGCTTGTGTTTCAGCCTCGCATTACGGAGCCTGAGGACACACGGTTGTTCCTCTGTTAATACACATCGGGTCATACTAGGAGATCACGTCTGTTGTGTACCACAGACCGTTTTTATAATACGCACCTTTATAAATTTGGCTTTCAGTCAGAGGTAAATGGGGATGTCTTGCTAAGAACTGAATTTCCAGGAGCTGGGACTTGAGTTTCATTCCCTAGTGTCCGTGAAGTCTATTTTAGGCCTGACTGATGACTTCGTGGGTGTGCCAGATTGGCCACCGGGCATGACTTTTATCTCTGCTGCTGAGGTGGGGCTTGCCTTGCCTAACAGTTACTGTTAGGACCGGGAAATGACCTTGGGTTTGTTAGCTGGGCCAATCTCACATAAAAGCTGCTACCCAAGATGGTTTTTTAGTCCAGAATAGCCTGGCCAAAACAGTGGACAAAGTCGTTGTTGCTAATGATTACTGTTTTAAGTTCTAGAAGGAGGAAACAAGCTACAAAGTATTTTTGCTGCGTAGGCTTATGATGTTGCAGTTGTGTTCCCCAAACCTGATAGATTCGGCTATTTGTAGCCAGATCCTGGCTCGATGGTTGGAGAAAATCCCTGAATCCAAGGTTTACTTGATTTCAAGTATTTGTAAGAATGGAGAGTGGTGATCAGGCCTTGTGCAGAGAGGACTGCCCACTGGCTCTGCTTTTATCTGCTGATGTCCATACTCTTTCTGGTTTCCCTGTGTATCACTGTGTCCCTTTGCCTAGAGACGCATTTTGGAGCTTCCTGTTCATTGTTTGGGCTCTTTTCTCCTCTGATTTGAAGGCAGAAGCAGACAGTGTAGCTTAGTGGGTGCTTTTCAGGAGTCCCTGGGGTCCAGTGCCTGGGAGGTGCTGGCGGGAGCTGCCAAGTCTGGGGCGCCCATTTATGCTGTCTCTGCGACCCCCTCCACTCCCCACAGCACTTAACTCTGGGGACTCAATTTCTGTTCTTCTCTCAGCTCCCCAGACCTACAGCTGAGGGCTGGTCCCAGCCCAGCTTGACCACCTCACTGGTTGACTAAACTTGCGTGGGCCATCAGGGGGGCCTAGTACTGTTCTGAATCTGGCACATGTTTTCCCATGAAAGAGTCCAGACCAACAGCTTTTGGAATGTGGCGGCGAGTTCAGCTGAGTTCCTGAACTGATTGTGGTGGTGATATTGGCTCCTGGGTACAGAGAAGGCTGTAACCTGAGCAGCAGATTAATAATTCAATTGCTGGTGTCTGAAAGGGTGCAGGTAATCTGGCTTGAGCTTTTTTGGGGCTCCATGACTCAGTCTTTTCATGACTTGTTTGTGGAACTATAGCTTTGGTTGAACAGCTAGTAATAATTGCATTTTGTTGCCTTCTGTCTCCTGAAAAGAGAGTTCTTACCAACCTGCACGTGTTGTATACCATGTGTGTGCACGTGTGTACATGCGTGTGTTACATGTCTGTAGAATCACTGTGCCCTCCCTTGGCTTACAAGTTGGAGCAACATACAGCATGACTCTGGAGGTTCTAAACCTGTTTCTTAGGTGGCTGTGGGGTTTTCGTCTCAGACTTCGGCCAAGTGTTTCCTATTTACAGTAGAAGCGGGTTCAGCCACTGTGTTATCTGCTGGAGTTTGCCCCCTGTGCAGTTGTCCATCTCGTGTAGCCTGCTGTAATCTGTTGTTTTCTTCAGTTCCAAAATCAAGAATACCATAGACCTCTTTTAAGAAATACAGGAACTCTACAATAGTTTATAAAATATTTTTAAGGTTATACACACCAACAAAACCAACATTGTGAGTTTAATAATTCAGCCAACCACCCTGCTTTGTTATTCGCTTCTGAATTTCGTCCAGCTCCTATAGAATTTCATATTTTTGAATTTTTTTCTGTTATACGTTACTTTTATAAGTACATTTAACAGCCTCATAATATCTTAGTAAGAATGTCATTAGTTTTCCCTCTTTTTTTGGCTATTCATGTTGCGTCTGTTTTTTTTTCCTTCAGTATTGTGAATTATACTTAATGTATTTATGCATATCATATTTTACCTTTTGAATTGCTGTGTTTCCTTAAAATGTATTTCTAGAAGTAAATTACTTTTTGAAGAGGGATTTTTTTTCCAGTTCTTGAAGTACATTAGTATATTAAGAAGTACTTACCAGTCACACTGTTATCAGTCTTATAAGAATGTATCTTTTACTACAAACTTGTCACTATTCAGACATGTCACATTTAAAATTTGTCACTTTTTTTTTTTCTTGGTCAATTTAACTGTCAAAATACGGCAGCTTCTTTAATCTGCATTTCTTCTGTCCCAGGTGACATTGAACCTTCTGTTTTTTTCCTCTAACCCCATTTCAGTGCATGTGACTTCTGCCCAAGCCCTTTCCTCATTACCACAATAGATGAAATGCTGTGCACCTGGTTTTGAGTGGACAGATGTTCACTTTGGTATCAGGGTGGATTATGTGATCTTGTTTTTGCTAGCAAAGTTGTTGATGTACAAAAACTCACATAATTAGGTTTATAAAAGTTCTCCTAGAACATTAAAAATTGTTGTTTGGTGTGATAAGGATATAAATTTTGGTGTTTTCCTCTACAGATTGAAAAAAAAACACTTTGGTTAGTTTTCATTCTACAGAAGTTAAAATCTTCTATATTTTAAATGTCAGTCTCTTCTGTGATTTCTTTCATTACTTCATGGAATTTTTTTTCTTTTAGATTTTATTGGGGAATTGGGGGAGGGGAACAGCTTTGGGGAATCGGGAAGGGGGACAGAGAAGTTGCTGTCCTTTTGTTCTTCAGTCTAGTTGTGGAGGACGTCGCTTCACTGTCCCATTTATTGGTATTATCATTGCGCTCTTCCTGGGTGAGGCAGTCGCTTGACGGCCATCGGACGGCCACTCATGACTGCTCACGGCAGCTCATGAAAGCTCACGCTCGCTGCCGGCCAGCTCCACTGCAGCCTACACCGTCGCCCCAAGGCAGCCCAGCTCCAGGTCGAGCTGTTGTTCACCATCTTAGCTGTAGAGGCCAGTGTCACTGGCCCTCATGTGGGATCCGAACCGGGGTCCTGCTGCTCAGAGCTGGCGTCCCAAGCCAACTCCTAACCAACGCGACACTCCGCCGGCCCCATGGAATTTTTTTAAGGTTATATAGATTAAAAGGTCTGGTATCTCCTGATACTGTTTAACAATAGTTTGAGAGGAAAAAAGTGAACTAGCTAAATTAGTACCTTCTTGGCTGGACGCAGTCCCTCCGTGTGGTTTGTGTTTCATGCAGCTGGGTGAGGGGCCCAGCCAGAATGTCCAGCCAGATGTCATGGCCAGCTCGCCCTTAGCCCCAGCTGCACAAGGTGGACCTGGCGTGGGGAACGAGCCACCTTCTGACACCAGTTTTCCTTTTAGCTCTAGCCAGCCCTGTCCTGGGCCTCAGAGAATGCACCAGGGGCTCAGCAGTGTGGTGCCAGAACGTGAAGACGGCGGCCGACTGTGGGGCTGTGAAGCACTGCCTGCAGACCGTCTGGAACAAGCCGACAGTGGTGAGTGCCGGTAGCTCTGCACGCGAGATCCCTTCATATCATCCTAACTACTGCCGTCTACAGAGCACTCTGTTGTTTGCTCCTCACTGTGATCCTGCAAGGGAGGCAGGACCTGTTGTTGTTGGTGGGTGTACCCATTTGCCACAGAGGAAGTGGAGGTGGGAGAGGTTAAGGTTCCGTTCCCCCAAGGTCACCCAGTCTCTTGGTGACAGAGATGCGATGAGGTCCTCCCGTGCCCCCGGCTGTGTGTTCCATGCTGCCCTCCAGGCCTCTGTGCACATGCCATCTCTTCACCCCAGATAAGGGACCAGCAGGTTTGCAGCCCCCATTCCCAGAACTGGGCACTCGGGGACCACTTCATCCTTGGTCACTCACTCAAAAAGTAAATGCTAAGCTTTTTAAACCTTTTCCCCCTTTTTGATGTTTTTCTCTCTGCCTCAGACAGCTGCCTGTTTGGGTCACTGATTCAGACCCTAGAGCTATAGTAGCTATTTAAAATTTTATTTCCAGCTATAACCAAACTGGAAAAGATGCCACTGATTTTCATCTGAACAATGTTAAATGTAGCATATTAATGCGGGGCTCTCAACACTCATGGAGAATATGCTAAGACGACAAACCTCCTTCATGGGACCTGAACCCTCTCAGGAGACGCCCGAGCTTTCCTGGCTGCACCAGCCGACTGCATGGGATGATGCTCTGGGTTCGCTCTGGGATGTGCTGCGTCCTGTGGTTACAGGCCAGGTTTCACTGAGTGGAGTTCACGTTCAAAACTTGTCTGTGGCCACTAGAACTCCTTTAGTAAGAGAAGAATAATTAACACCGTTAAAGTATTTTCTGAAGTCACGGGAAAACCACCCTCTGTGGCCGTAACTTACTTTCAGATTTGGTTTTTAATTTGCCTTTGGTCTTGTTTTTAATACTGCTTCCTCTTTCCAAGTTGAATGTATGTGAAGTGAAGACTTCAGATTTTTTGCTGTCGATAGGGCAGTTTCGTGAATGATGCCTGCATCTCTCTTGGTTGGCCTAATGCACATTATTAGCCTGACTAGATCCAAAGATCCAAATCGGTTTCTCTGAATGCAGCTAAGTTGACAGGTGTTCCTTGATCCTACCCATATGTGTTAGTTCTATCCTCACGGGTTGAAAATCAGTTGACATCAAGAAGGGAGCTCCCCAAGAGCTTTGAGAACCAACTCGATTTTATATGGTCCTGGGCCACGTGGGGCCCCGGATGCCCAGGCTTGCCGGAAGACTGGTGTCATGTTTGTAAGCTTTGGCGTGGTGACAGGTAGGTGGCCTCCACTTGAACCTAGCACCGCCCAGGGAGTGGAAGGCCCATAGAGTGCCAGTGTGAGTGCGCAGCAGCAGCAACCAGTGTCCGGCTGGGGCTTGTTTCCCTGCCCCGCCCCCTTTAACTCTGACAGTGGTCTTGGTCCCAGGGGATGCTGCTTTGCATTACTGATCTTCTCTGATTTCTGCTACTCTGATTCTCACCTTTCTGAGTCTGTATCCTCACAGAGCTGTTGTTAGCATTGATAGGAAGCTTGGCCTATACTGTGTGCTCTGTGTAAGGTGCTGAGTGGTAAAGGGTATAAGAAAAGGGTGTTTATCCATAGAAGCATGGTGTATCCTGGTCAGTCACACCTACTCCTTTCCCTGTGGCGTCTGAGTGCGTCGTGGTTAGGTTGGGGAACCAGGATGTGCCAGTGCGTCAGACATGGCCACGGTCATATCCTGGTTAGAAAAACAGGAAAAAGGCCAAGGGAATTTTCAGCTGTGAGTTATGTCCTACAAATACAGATTTCTCTCCCTCATGTTCTTTCCTCTTAGAAATCCCTTCCCTGTGACATATGCAAAGATGTCATCACTGCCGCGGGCGACATGTTGAAAGACAATGCCACTGAGGTGAGCCACCACGAGTGTGTGTGACTGTGTGTGAATGGTGGCTGTGTGGCCCACGTGCATTGGTTCCTTCAAAGAGCTGTGACTCTGGGGTCTAGGCCCACCTAGGAAATAATTTAGGTCGTGCAGGCTGCATTCTGTTTCTGACACATAATATTTTTTCTCCCTGTCCTTTAAAAATGTAAAAACCATTCTTAGCCATAGGCAATACAGAAACAGGCTGTGGGGCCTAGCTTGTTCCTCCACCCACAGCTGGTAAATGCCCAAGGTTGATTGGGATTTTTTTGTATCATATGCTGTTAACCTTTAGGTCTGTTTGTCTATCTCTGCGTGCTCGGAATTCCCTGTGCCTGTGAGACTGCAGGTCAGAGGATCTGCGCTTTGCCTCGTTGACCTGACAGCCATGGCACCCACTCGCCCTCTCCCAAGTCCTCTCCCCAGAAGGCCTTTCCTGGGAGCTGTCGAGGGCCTCTTGCTTTCAGCCCATTGTAGAGAAATGCATCCTGATCTGACCTTTGCCTGTGTCCTCTCTAGGAAGAGATCCTTGTGTACCTGGAGAAGACCTGTGACTGGCTTCCTAAGCCGGACCTGTCTTCCTCCTGCAAGGAGATGGTGGACTCCTACCTCCCAGTCATCCTGGACATGATTAAAGGACAGGTGGTACGTGGTGGAGAACAGGTCTTCCTTCAAGGCACTTTTGGGGCCCAGGGGAGGTACCACAGCAGATTAGAGTGATTACGATGGAAGGTCCATTCACAGATGCGGGTTTTCTCAACAGCTCCTACAGTTCTAGCATCCAAAATGGCTTTGGCGTGGTAGATCCCTCTGCGGTAACTTTCAGGAGTTGGGGAGGGTCCAAGAAAGGGGAACTTGTAGAATTACTGAAGGAATGTAAACCGGAATAACACATAGGTGCCCATTTGATATCTCATGTCGGACCTTTAACTGTCCCTTTGAACAAGCAGTTCATTTCATTTCTGTGATTTTATCCTGAGGAGTGTGTCAGGGAATGTACTTGTGGGTTCAGCTATAAGGATGCTCAGCTTTCAGTCAACCATGTGTCAGAGGTGGTTTGCAGCAGTGAACAAGGAGCCAGGTTTGTGGAATATGGAAAGACCCTAAGGAAGAAGAGAGGCTTAAAAAACTGAGAGGGCCAGTGTTCGAAGATGGGACCAAGGTCTTGGCGAAGAAGGTGGGCTTACATTTTATGCAAGGCCTTTTAGGCCACATTTGAGGATTGTCAGTGCAGCGGGACATCCTTGGGGGGTTTCAAGGAGGAGGCGTGCCATGAGCATAGGTACCTTTTCCCAAAGGTTTGGTCTAGGTCCCACCGGTTGGGAGTTGCACGAGGGGAAGTTGGCAGGACAGTCAGATGTGAGATGTGCTGGGGACAGTGGAGATGGACAGAGGAGATTCTGTTTTAAAGCCTAAATGGACAGGACTTGCTGAAGGAGGGATGTACAGGAGAAGGAGTCAGGAATGTCTTCTGGGTTTCTGGCTTGAATCGCAGGGAGAATGGTGGTGAGGCCATTTGCTAAAATGGAGACGGAGGGGGAGCGGATTGGGCAGCTTAGTTTGCGATGCCTGTGAGCTGGGTATGCGTACGTGAGTCAAGCTAAGAGATAAGGAAAGGGACGAATTCAAAGGCACCAGGTGCTCGTGTTGCTTTCCTTCGGGGAAAGGATTTCCATCTGGACTTCTTTCCCCACTAGAGCAATCCCGGAGAGGTGTGCTCCTCTCTCAACCTCTGCGAGTCTCTTCAGAAGCACCTGGCGGAGCTGAACCACCAGAAACAGCTCGAGTCCAACAAGATCCCGGAACTGGACATGGCCGAGGTGGTGGCTCCCTTCATGGCCAACATCCCGCTCCTCCTCTACCCTCAGGATGGCCCCCGCAGCGAGCCCCAGCCGAAGGTAAGGAGGCGAGTGGGCCTGGTCGCCGGGCTCCACGTTTGGTTGGATTAGAGATGAGACATGAAAGTGGCAGTGCATGCAGGCGATCCTTCAACTGGGGGCGTTTACCCCAGCCAGCCTCCTGATGGTTGTGCCATGGGGGTTTCTGAAGAACCTGAATATTTAAATTAAACTAAATTTAAGAACTGGGATTTTAAAATTTTTTTTATTTTTTTATTAGTTTCAGGTTTACAAAACAATGCAATAGTTATCGTTTTCACCCTCACAAAGTGACAACTCCCCTCCCTCATCCACTGCTCCCCAAACCACGATATCATACATATCTATTACGATTCCCTTGACTCCACTCCCACACTATACTCTACAATCCATGACTATATATGTGTTAAATTATAGTTCACATATAATATTATCCAACGGCAACTTCAGATGTACAGTGCAGTGGTCAAGCCTCTACACCATCTATGAAGTGGTCTCCCTAGCAAGACATGTGACATCTGACACCCTACAAAATATTTACAACATTATTAATTACATTCCCTGAACTATCTTTCATATTCCTGTGGCAATATTGTAGTTACCTATTTATGCTGTCTAATCCCTTCCCCTTCTCCCTCATCCCCACCCCCTCCCAACTAGCAACCATCAGTTTTTCCTGTGTCTCTCAGACTATTTCTGTTTATATTACTCATTTGTTCAGTTCTTTAGATTCCACATATAAGTGAGATCATATGGTATTTGTCTTTCTCCGGCTGACTTATTTCACTTAGCATAATAGTCTCTAGGTCCATCCATATCATTGCAAATGGTACGATTTCATTCTTCTTTATAATAGGGTAATACTTCATTGTATAAATGTACTACAGTTTCTTAATCCAGTTGTCTACTGATGGGCATTTCGATTGTTTCCAAGTCTTGGCTGTTGTAAATAGTGCTGCAGTGAACATAGGGGCGTATATATTTTTTCAAATTAGTGTCTTGGGTTTTTCTGGATAAATACCTAAGAGTGGAATTGCTGGGTCATACAGTAGTTCCATTTCCAGTTTTTTGAGATACCTCCATACTGATATCCATAGAGGCTGCACCAATCTGCAGTCCCACCAACAGTGCACCAGGGTTCCCCTTTCTCCACAGCCTCGCCAGCACTTGTTGTTTGTTGATTTATTGATGATAGCTATCCTGACTGGAGTGAAGTGGTATCTCATTGTGGGTTTTATTTGCATTTCCCTAATGATAAGTGAAGTTGAACATTTTTTCATATGCCTGTTGGCCATCTGTATGTCCTCTTTAGAGAAATGTCTCTTCATATCCTCTGCCCATTTTTTAATTGGGTTGTTTGGTTTTTTTTGGTGTTGAGTTGCATGAGTGTTTTATAAATTTTGGATATTAAGACCTTATCAAAAACTGGGATTTTTTATTTTTTTATTTTTATTTTTTTTAGCTGAGCCATCCTGCCACCTGTTGGCAGCTCAGCGGCAACTCAGCTTGGGCTGGGAATCAAACCGGCAACCCTGTTGCTCAGAGCGTGCACTCTTGAGTGAGCTCTTAACCAACTGAGCCACTCGGCCCTAAAAAGTGGGATTTTAAAAATATGCAGATTCCCTCCCCTCCCCTTGCTTCTATTAAGTTTTACTAAAATCAATGCCCAGTGGAGTTTAAAACTGTCGATAAACTGTAAAAACACATTAGGAACTACCAGTTCAGGGAGTCACTCCCTACCCAGTGCTGCGGTCGTGAGCATGTGAGGGAAATTTCCCAGGAGTTGGAATCCTCTTAGTTATTCGAGGAGTGTGCAGTGTTCGCAGTCTAACTGCCTCTGTCTCCGCAGGCTAGTGGGGATGTTTGCCAGGACTGCATTCAGATGGTGACCGACATCCAGACCGCCGTAAGGACCAACGCCTCCTTTGTCGAGTCCCTGGTGGAGCATGCCAAGGAGCAATGTGACCGCTTGGGGCCTGGCATGTCCGACATGGTGAGCCTTGTCTCCCGGTGGGCTCTGGGGACAGGTGTGGGGGAACCAAGGAAACTTCCCTTCCTAGGGCACTGTTTTCCAGCCTAAGGGCTTTGAGGAAGAGATTGTTCAAACAACTCCTATTTCCTTCTCACTAGAAAGCAGCCAGAATAGGTGGTGGGTGTTTAAATACCTTGTTGGTTAATTGCATTTGTATGTGTAACAAAACTCAGTGGGACAAGATAGTGGAAGGACACCACTCTTGTGAAGATTTCTTTTTCTTCCAGTAACCATTTACATCAGAAACAACACTAGAATCACTTATAACTCTGTTTTTAAAAGCCTGGCTCTTACGTATGCATAATTCTAAGTGTGCTCTCCCCACAGCCAGCAGGCTTGTCATGCACGGGAAGCCGTTCAGTGGCTTGCAGGAAGCTCACCTGGGGTGCCTTTGTTACCTTGGCGAATGTTAGTCCTGCGGGCTCAGAAACGCATTTTACCCCTTAGCGGGCTTCATTTCCTGGACTCTATTCACAATAACCACACTCAGTGAGACTGGTGCTTAGTACCTGACAACCGACAAGCTTCTGCTCGACTGGGTGTAGGGAAGCTGATGATAATGGCTCAGTGGGTCTACAGTCTAGAGCAGCCTTTCTGGATCCGGGAATGGCTGGCTCTGGGAGCTAAGGGTTCCTCTCTGTTGACTTACTCTCCTGAAAGCCTGGGAATCTTTTAGCCTCATTGAAGTATCCTTGTATATTGCTATGTTAATTGGCTTCTCCAATGTAACCTCCTGGAGGGCTGTCCTATTACCCTTGGTTTTCTCCCTGTGGAGGCTCTCCAGTTACAACCAGAGCTTTCTCTGAGGGTCTATAGGAAATACCTAGATGTGTAGGACAATAGGCAGGTTGGAAAACATTGTAACTTGATTCTTCTGGATTTAAATTTTATAATTCTGCTCAAGAATGAGTGAATGCATTTGAAAAGTAGTCTCTGATTCCTAGCAGCATATCTTATAGCCACACTCACTCTAAATTGCTGCTGAATATTTGCTGTGTGATTTTGGGGCAAGTTTGGGCCATAAAAGGAGATCGGAGGACTTGATGTCTAAGGGCCTTTGGAAAATATTTTCAAAACACCTTTTGCACGTTTTTCTATAAGGTATAGAACAATCAAATTGCCGTTTTTATCTTATTAAAACTTGCCTAGAGCAGACATTTATAAGACTCTATTTTTGGGGTTGGAAATCCCGGGGGGGATGGAGGGATTTGTGTGTAGTAGTAATTAATTTCACTTCATTAACTACCTGTTTCTCTCTCCTCAGTGCAAGAACTATATCAACCAGTATTCTGAAATTGCTGTCCAAATGATGATGCATATGGTAGGTGCAGGGGAAGCTCCTCCTCAGCACTTTTCTTCATCTCAAACTTTGTGATTTCCAGGAATTTTGAAAAGCGTATGGTTTAGTGTCCCATTTTTACCGTCGAGTACTAAATTGGGCCAAAATGAGCCCTTTTTGCTGTTCAGTACCTCCCCGTTGTCTTCCCCAGCCTGACCCTCAAAACTGCCCTGGTGCCTTCCTGGCGGTTCATTGGCCTGTGCACCTGTGAGCTGGCTTTCACCCTGGACTCATGGGAATAGACGGTTCTATAGCCAGGCCAGGTCTGAGAACTGCTTGCTGTGTTGCAGCCTGAGTTCTTAGGAGGGCAGACTCCCGCCTCTTGGAGTTGGTCCTGAGCTCTGCAGCAGTGTTAGCTGTTGCTGCTGCTGCCGCTTGAGCCCTTAACTCTTGCACTTGCTTCTGATATATCCAGGTGGTGAGGGCACCCCTTCATTGTTAGAGGTAGAAAGTATCGATCATGGGAAGCCAGCCAGCCAGCTCCATGCAGAAAACTTGTATGGAGCAGGGTGGTCTGAAGCCTCATTCCTTTGGGAACATGCTCTGGCTGTCTGAGACCTGATCCGCAGGGTTTGGGGTAGGTTGTACTTTTTTTTTTCTCTGTCATCCTGACTCCTGACTATGTTGACATTGGCCTACAGCTCTTGAGTTTATTCTCTAACCAGGGGCTTTTTTTGTTGCTTTATTGGAACACAGCAATATCCATTTTGCACCTCGGCAGCAGAGTTGAGTAGTTGAGACCTTAAGGCCTAAACGATATACTCCCTGGCCCTGCTGTTAGCATTCAGGGACTCCATCCAGTCACAATAGAGTTTATTTGGGATTATTACACCCCACCTTGTTCTTAGCCTATGCAGCTAGAATAGGAAGAAATAAGCTTCTCAAAAAATATTTTTCTCACTGTCAGAATTGTACTGCATAGAAATTCTTTGACAATATGGATACTTCTTCCCAAATCAAAAATCATTTGCAGATTTAAAAAATATCAGTGGTCATATTTTATATATTATTTCAAACTTTGTAGTACATTTCTATTCTAAAATTATATTGGTCATTAAATATTCTGTAGAAATTATTTTTAGATGGCTACATAATATTCCACTGTGCGGCTATAACATGGTTTATGTAATTAAAATCCCTGATAGCTGGATGTTTAGGTTGTTTCCAGGTTAGCCTTTGGGATAAAAAAGCATGATGAAAACTTGTACGGAGCAGGGTCGTCTGAAGCATCATTCCTTTGGGAACATGCTCAAAGACATATATATATTGTATATGCACGTCTCTGTTTCCCCCCCCCCTTAGTATAGATCACTAAAGCTGGAATTGCTGAACCAAAAGGCAAAGCTTTTTCTTCAGCTGAGCCATCCTGCCACCTGTTGGCAGCTCTGTGGCAGCTCAGCTCGGGCTGGGAATCGAACTGCTGTTGCTCAGAGCTTGCACTCTTGAGCAAACTCTTAACCAACTGAGCCACTCGGTCGGCCCCAAAGCTTTTGATATAGTGTCAAACCAGCCTTCCAAACTTGACTTGGGCCACCTGGGGGTAGACCGCCATGAGACCCAGGCAGTGGACCGTGTGGTTCCGGGTCCCTGACCCCTCTGGATATATTTTATAATACCCCTAATTTGGGCAGCCTTGCTCCTTTTTGCTGCTCATCACCAGCCTGAGGGGGGGACCTTGCAGCCCTGGTGGGGTTAGGCTCTTGAGGATAGAGAGCCCTTCATAACAGTATTTTCTGGGCATGATGTGGTGTGTCAGGGATATAGGGACGGTGCCCACACAAGCTGGGCGGCGTGGTCTCTTCCTAGAGGACGGCCAGAGTAGCTTTCAGGGCCTCATGTGCACTCAGTAGTGAGAACAAGGTAGACGGCTGCAAGGGCGGATTCCCTAAACCTCTGGTAATGTCCTTACACCTGGTTAACTGCTTGATGGTTGTTATTTTAATGTTTTCTTAACTGTTGTGTCCTTTCCTTTCTCTTATTTTCATCTCCGATTTCCTGTTTTTTTGTTCAACAGCAGGACCAGGTATGTGATGGGGGGTTTGCTTGTAGTAGTGGTCTGCTGCCTCTTGTAGCTGTTTTGCTCCTCTTTCTTGTATGGCATGATCAGCTCTGACAGAGATGAGGAAGGGCTGTGAAAGGCAGGGTCCCTCTCTGTGTTCATAGGCTGGCAGGGGAGCTTTTGCATGTCTCCCCTTTGATTCAGCACTTGGGGTGTTTGGGGTCTCATCTCCCCTTCAGGGGGCCGGAAAATGAAGCCAGCAGAGCCTTACACTCTGGGCCAACTCGGTGTCCAGTTGGCCACGTGAAGGCTGCTAGTGTGATGACTGGGAACCACGGGTGGCCCTGGAGATGCCTCAGCTTCCATCAGTGTAGGCCTGACTTCCGGTGGGTCATCTTGTTTCTGTCATGACTCAAGAGAGCACTGCATGTCTTTAGTCCTGTTTTTCATAACCCCAGAAATGCTTCTGCTGCATGAATTAATCATCTGCAAATAATGAGCAGACTGTTCCTCTGTCTGCGAGATCCAGAGACTTGGAAACAATCTCTTGATTGTGGCTTCTGCCCCTCTGGGTGATGGGATCCTATGTCCTGGGGCCACATCAGACAGCTTGAGAGCTGTGCCGCCTGTGGCATAAAGTGGGTCACTGAGCCCCCAGATTGGATTTACTGATCCGGTTGCCCTTTTGGGGCCACACTGAGCATTGTTTCCTTCTGAGCCCTGGAAATAAAGTTTTTTTTTCAAAGATATTCTGAAGTCTAGTGGGAGAGGACTTTGGCTGAAATTTCTGAATTTTCCCTTACACCACCTCCTGGAGTTAGTAGAACAAAGCTGCTCTGAGACAAAGCAGACATATACCTTTTGAATCTTTGTCTTTTTTCTAAAAAGCTTGCTGTATCTTTGGCTCCATTCTGATTCCCGCCCCCCCCCACCCCCCCATTCTTAAAGGGTGCCAAAGACAGGATACTTAGGATATACTTTCAGACTCTCCCAACCTTAATTCACTCTAGAACCTTCTCAATATTAAAACAAGATGAACCATGGCCACGGTCTAGTTCTCTTCCCTTAACAGGTTTCGTTTCAGCTGCATTATGGTTTGGTGGTGGGAGACAGATGCGATCAGGCCCAGAGCTAGCTGCCGGCTGCATTTGGTTTACAGAGTACACGAAGTCTGTATGCTTTTCTTGCTGGCCATCCTAGGATGACATAGTCAGGGTGGTGTCCCAGCTGCTTAGTTCTCTGCGGTTTGGTATCTGGTTGGAAAAGGGGATTGATCAATCTGGAGACCTTGTGACTTGAAATGATTCATTAACTTGGGGGACTGAGTTTTCGTGTGTCCTGTTTGTGCAATTGTGAACGTAGAATATGTGAACGTTAAAAAGCCAACGTTTCCCCTTAATGCATCATTTTAAATGGTCCTGCCACCGAAAGATCCTGTGTGCTTTTATTTCTAACACATTCGGCTTTCCATTAGTTTATGAGCATAGTAGTTCTCCTCTAAAAAGAACATAGAGTTTATTTCCAACTGAGTGAAACGCCTCAACTGAAAAACATGTTCTAGAGCAGACCACTGTCCTCGGAGACGATTGATCACTTGCTAAAGGTGCTGGGAGCCTCGCTTCCTTGGGTGCTGCCTGGTTGGAGCAGAGACCGTAGTTCTGTCTGATCTCCCTTCCAAGCTTCGTGTGGCCTCCTCCCCCACGTGAAACTGGTCCATCTGCCTTTGCACAAGCTCTTTTAATTTAATATGAAATCTTTGGGGACAGTCAGCCCTTGATGTTGGGACCAGGGCACTACCCCAGCATCCTGACCTTTGTGTACAGACAGCGGGACTTACCAGTGGCGGGTGCAGACCTGCATCTGACTGCTTTTTCTGTGTTCTCTTCAGCAACCTAAGGAGATTTGTGGGCTGGTTGGGTTCTGTGACGAGGTGAAGGAGGTGCCCATGCAACCCCTGGTCCCTGCCAAAGTGATCTCGGAGGACATTATCCCTGCTTTGGAGCTGGTGGAGCCCATTAAGGTATCTGGTGTCATTGTTTTGCACTGGCCAGGGCTATATCGAGTACATTTATTTCTTTGGTTATACAGCAAAACCTTGGATTGCAAGTAATGTGGTTTGCAAGTGTTCTGCAAGATGAGCAAACATTTCTAATATATTTTAATATGATAAATGAGCGATGTCTTGCAATATGAGTAGTTTGTTTCCGGAACGAATTATGCTCGCAAACCAAGGCATTACTGTACAGGTAAGCGCTAGAGCTCATGAGATCAAGTCTTCGTTTTTAACACACCATTAAAGATCATTTTTCAGTGCCTGGCTCCAGCCTAACCCTTTTCCGTGGTGTGGTGCTCTTTGTGACTTCCCCCACATCCTTTCCCACACTGTGGCCGTAGTACAAACTTGGTATTCCCCGAACACCCCCAGGGCTGGTGCAGAAGCTTCCCGGGGTGTGCTGCCTCTGCACGCACAGGTGTCTGCTTTGTTTCCTAGCACCCTTCTCATGGTGCAGATCCTCCTACATTCCATAATCAGTGTATATTCAGCACTTCTAATGGGTCAGGCAGTGTTTTAGAGACTGAGGCCTAGAACTGCTCACCTACAGTGGTCAACAGAATTGCCCTTGTGTTCATAGAGCTTGCAATCTAGTTCTTACGGGCCAGGCCACGTGACATAACATGGCACATGCATGCACTTCTTGTTCCAGAACTTCCCATGTCACTCGTCTCCCTCTACTGCCTTCTTTCAGCACGTGCAGTGTGTGGACCGCAGGAAGGGTTAAGGTGTCAGAGTCAGGGGACACTGCTGCCTGCCCTTCAAACCCAGAGATGCTCATAGGCCCCGCTGACCAGAAGTCATGGCTAGAGAAAATGACACGTTATAGCTTATACTCTAGTCACTACTTAAATTTAAAGAAAATGCAGTTCCTTGGTTACACTAGCCACATTTCAAGTGCTAGTGGACACATGTGGCTAGTGGCTGCTGTGTTTGACAGCAGAGATGTTTCTATTGTCACAGAAAGTCCTTTTTAACAGTATTGATTTGTTAAAGGTAGGCTCTAGAAAGGCAATTTCAGGTGTAAATAAGACTTGAAAGTTGAGCAAGTTAAGTTTAAATCCCTGAAATGTGTTTAAAACTCAGTCTTGTAAGATAGTGGATCTTCCCTTGGTTCCTGCTCCCCCTGCACCTCCCCAGGACAAACACTGAATGCTGAAATGATTGTAACCAAACACAACATCACCCCGACAGCTCTTTGGGGTGGGGGTGGGGCAGTTTCACTGGTTCTGTCTCCGGAAGTATGAATTCCTGGTGTTTAGCGGGTGGAGTGGCGGGAGGTGGTGATGGTGGAGGACTGGGGAAAGGGAGGGTCTCCCACCTCACAAAACACAGGAGGGACTGGAACTTAGGCACTGGGAGGGAGCCACACATTTCGAATTCAGTAGGAAGTGGCCCTTTATGGTACTAACCTGTCCTTGGCCTCTGTGTCCCCTCTCCTTTAGAGAGCAGGACCAAGGGGTGAGGCAAGGGCCTCGGCATTCAAATGTTCTACTCTCTCAACAGAAGGACCTGGTCCAGGCGAAGTCTAGTGTTTACTGTGAGTTGTGCGAGTATGTGGTGAAAGAGGTGGTCAAGCTGATTGACAACAACAGGACCGAGGTATGTGGGTTTCCGCAGTGCTGCCCTCCTGGCAGGGGGCAGAGCGCCCCTGTCCCCTGAGCCAGAATGGCCTAACAAGAGACCCCAGCAGAACCAGTGGGTTTGGCCCTTGCTGGTGTTGGACACCAGCTTGGGAGGCTGTAAACCACTTCCCACCAGTGGATCCCCCTGGGCTGGGGCTGGAGGAGGGCACGTTGCCCTGCGTTGTAGCTCCTGTCTTTTGTAGGAGGAAGCAGCATCTTGCTGTTGACTGGTTTCCTGGTCACGTTAGTATTTTCAGAACCTTTCCCACCCCTACCCAGCCTCCCATCTTCACACATGATCCTCTTGTGTTTCAGGAAGAAATAATTCATGCTTTTGATACCATATGCTCGAAATTGCCTGTATCCTTGTCCGATGAGTGCCAAGAGGTGGTGGACACTTACGGCAGGTCCATCCTGTCCATCCTCCTGCAGGAGGCGAGCCCTGAGCTGGTGTGCACCATGCTCCACCTCTGCAACTCCCAGCAGCTGCCCGCACTGACTGGTGAGCCCGGTGGGGGTTAGACTGGTGGACCTGCTGGGGTTTGGGAGGGCCCTGCTAGCACTGAATCTGTGCTCTCCTGTGCAGTACATGTGACTCGGCAGAAGGACGGTGGTTTCTGCGAGGTGTGCAAGAAGCTGGTTGGCTATTTGGACCACAACCTAGAGAAAAACAGCACAAAACAGGAGATCCTGGATGCCCTTGAGAAAGGCTGCAGCTTCCTGCCTGACCCCTACCAGAAGCAGGTATGCTCTGAGCTGCTTTCAGCCAGAAGCGAACCTTCCTGGGGAATGCAGAGGCTGGGGTGCTCATAGATTGTACCCTTGACTGCAGTTTTGAGAGAAAACCAGCCATTTCTACCTCTAGGCTTGCAGCCAGGGAGATTTTTCTTAGAGGCGATCTGTTGGCTCAAATGGAGCCACTGGGGGTTAATAACATGGGCCACTGAGGCTGAGTGTGGGGCAGGCCACCTGGGAAGGGAGGCCCCAGGGCTGCTGGGCTGGCAGTGGCAGGAATTCTTATAAAGAGCACGTCCAGCACCCTCCTTTTGTGCCCCCTCTCCGCTTGGGCACACCTAGACCTGGACCCGTGTTCGTTTGCTTCACAGTGTGATCAGTTTGTGAGCGAGTATGAGCCCGTGCTGATAGAGATCCTGGTGGAGGTGATGGATCCGTCCTTCGTGTGCTCGGTGAGCTCTGCTGCGGTGTGGGTTCTCGGGCAGTGGAACCGGGGAGCGCTGTGTGGTCCCTGGAAGGCTTCCTCTGAGGTTTTTGGCCATGGGGCAGAGTCTGTGGGGATAGGGCGTGGGACAGCCAAGAAGCTAGAAAGAACCAGGCTTCTAGGTCCCACCGCTTTACTCAGCAACCCTGGTTTTTTGAACATGCACATCAGAGCTCTCTCTGATTCTAGTTGCTTCTAGAAGCGGATAATCTCAGTTTTGAAAAGAATTAGTTGGGTGGATCTAATAATTCTTCCGTCTTCTTTTGCCCTTTTTTCACCATATAGAAAATTGGAGCCTGCCCTGCAGCCCGTAAGCCTCTTTTGGGAACAGAGAAGTGTGTCTGGGGCCCGAGCTACTGGTGCCAGAACATGGAGACAGCAACCCTGTGCAATGTGAGTAGCTCCGCAGCTGCTCCCCAGGCCTGCAGTCGGCAGCTCGCGTGAGAGGCCTGATTTATTAGGAGCCTCAGTGATACAGGCTCTCTACTCTGTCTTTTATGTTAGTGAAAAACCTGAGGCCAGGAGAGGCGATTAATTAGGCTCGCTCATGGCTGTCTGACAAAGGCAGGGCTAACTGTGTTTTTGTCTTGGAGGAGTGGAGGGTGGGGGTGGGTACTCGTCAGTATTTTTTGCTTCTGCTTTCTTGCTTTGCCACCAGTTCCCTTGTGACAGGGTGAGATTTGCACGAGGTCACCCCAGGGATTGCACAAGGCCTATGGGATTCGTTGCCCCAATTCTTGCACAAGTCCTTGTGCCCGTTGGGGGTCATTTTTGTCCTAGTTGGAGCCTGGCCTGAATCTTCACCCAAGGCCATGCTGAGCTCTTTTCACAAGATCCTGAGAGTTGCCACCTGCCCTGCAGCCCCAGGGTGCCATGGCACTGTCCTGGCTGGGTAGCCACCTGCTGCCTTCCTGGGTGGGGATGTTTGGACCAGCCTGTTACTCAATGTTCCTTTGCGCAACTTTTTCTTCCTCGTGACAGTGGGGCCTGACCTTCCTGGTGTTGGGGAGGTTGCATCATTTTGGGCCACTGAAGGGAGGGGTGGCGAGGCCCATCCCAGCCGTGTCTAGCTGCTTTCCCCCAGCCAGCCCATCTGCGCTGTCACCCCCATAGCACGGTCATTGGTGAAATAGGTTTCTGCCACTGTCTTGTGTAAATGTGCCTGTGGGCCCATTTCTCAGGGTCCGAACTGGTGTGTAGCTCTGACTTTTGGGTGAAGAGTTCTGCTTTGGGGGCCTCTGCAGCCTGTCAGCTGAACGCTGGGGCTAAATGTGTGACTAGATGAAGGGATACCGGGCCCGACCTGCATGCGTGCTCATCTGCAGAGTACTCAAGTGCTTTACACCTGCTGCTCTGGATGCTTGCCTAGGAGTCCCCAAAACCCACCACATGCTCCCTGGCTTTAAATGAGATACAGTCCTACGTCTTCAGTGTCTGACCTAGGACGAGATTAACAGGTCCTATTTTTGGGTAATGTTTGATGCAGGAAAGGGCTAGGACTGGACTTTGTTATCTGAAGACTAAATGCAGTTTTCTCTCTCCTGTCAGGCTATCGAGCATTGCAAACGTCACGTGTGGAACTAGAAAGAACGTTCCATCTTGGAGGAACCACAGCATCTTTTCCTACTTGTATGTCTGGGGGGACGAACACAGCTCTATTGACTTTGTTATAAAACTCAGCCCCCCCCCTTTCCCTTCACTCCATTTCTTACCTCCCTTACTATATATAGCATTGCTGTCAGTGTGGGAGGTGTCTAACCCACTGCTGACGTAGCTGCTTCAGTGTCCCTTTTCTTTCCGCTAGATGGATAATGACGTACTGTGCCCTGGAGGTCTTTTAGCCTGCCCTTGCATGGTGGTTAGCTGGAGGGGGAGGAGCCGAGCGGCTTGACAGAAGGCCGTGCATCCCTCCTTTTGGCTGGGGCTTTGTTGTGAGCCCTGATCAGGGCTGGGGCACTGGTGGGCTTCTGAGGCCTCTACCTACCCTAAAGAGGGCCCTCCCTGCCGCCTGCGCCTGTTGGCTGCTTTACAAAGAAGCAAAAGAAAGGCAGTTGTATAGGCAAGATTAGAGGCTCACAACAGTTAGGCTTTTTGAACAGTAGAGTTCACACTGTAATAGAGATTTTGGAAGCAGCTGCTCAGGAGAACAGGGTGGGATCTGAGTTCGCTGTCCCTGGGTCAACCTTTGATCCTGTTTTCCTGTGTCTTTCCTGTTGATGCCTTATTTGGTGTCCTGTGAGTTTGGGTGGAAGTGGAAAAACCTGCCTGAATGCAACCTGCTAGCTCTCTGTGGAGGTCCCGTGGGCCTGGCTTTAGTAGTGAGCATGTGGACAGTGGTGACCCCTCGTGCCTGCTCTGTGTCTGCTGAGGCATGCTTTGTGCCTCTGCGCTGCTGCCCACCGTCGCCCTGGACAGTCACAGCCCCTCACTTCCGACTCATTTCGTAGCTGTTCTTTGTTGCCCTTGAAATGAATGTGGATGATAAACGCCTAAGCCTCTGGCTTCTGAGTAGGGGGTGTGCTGTCTGAGGGCCTTGGCTGCTGCCCTGCCTCCTGTTTGGTCGAATCTTCTGTCCCACTTCTGGTTGCCAGGAGACAGTAAAATCTGCAGTCACTATTAAATGGACTTAACGATTTTTTGTTTTGCACTAAAGTTTCTGTGATTTAACAATAAAGTCTGTCAACCAGACCTGAGCCTAAGCCTTTTTGTTGACACCTCAGCCAGAAGTTTCGCTTCTGATTCTGCTCCGAGGCCATGGACCTGTAAGTGCCCAGCAGTCCTATGGCCCCCTTGGCCAGAGAAAGAAAGCGACGTGGGTAAGAAAGTCCCATCTGGTCCTCGAAATACCCAGGGCCTGGCTGGGCCCAGAGCTGCCGTGCCTTTCACCCCCACCCCCCATGGCCAGCCACACGGTAGTTTACCAGAGCAAACTGACGGTTCCTTGTGAGTTGCTTTTCTTTTAAAATTCAGACCATTCCAGAAATGTTCAGTGAGTACCAGTTAAACAAACCAAAGGGAAAATATTGAGGGAATAACTTAATTTTTTAAAAAAAGGAATACACACGACCACTCTACATTCAAAACCCAAGGGAACATCAGTCATTTCTCTTTATGAGCCGGGCATATTTGGGAAGCCATGAAATGAAGAGAACGTGGTTTGTGGCTACTATTAACCTTGTCCATGTGGGGAGGCAGGGGTCACTCACTGCCCCCACCTAGATGTCCAGCCAGGGATGTGGCAGAAAGGCAGGGGGGCTTGAACCAAAGTCAGGGAGGAAGTCAAGGTCAGGCAGGGAACTGGAACCATGTCGGGCGGACCTGCTTGGCCTCTCAGCTCAGCCTGGGCTGAATTGGTCCTTAAACTCCTGGGTCCCCAGTGACGCTCCTTACCTCATCCTTAGACGCTTAACATTTTTGTTTGGTTTTCTTAAAAAAATAACAAATTTTATGATGTAGAAGTCAGATGCTGAATGAGCGTCTGGCAGAAGTGGAATCCGAGCAGCGGATGCGGGCTGCCACTGCCGGGCCAGCCCAAGGTCTAGGCCACCTGAAGGTTGTGAGCCCAGGGCTGGCTGGGGAGGGGCCCACACCCGTGGTCCTGCCCCTGCCCTTGCCATGAGAGGGGGCTAGGGACAGGCGCTGCTCACACCAGTGAGGCGCCCCCAGCAAGTCATAGCTCTGTGATCTCCAGGGGGCTCTCCATGATCACATCGCGAAGCTTGTGCAGGGGTGTTGATTTGGCGGACTCCGTGCGGGCGTTGCGCTCAAAGGCACTGGCCTCGGCGGCTGTCAGCGTCTCCAGCGAGCGGCCCAGACCCTTCTGGTCATCCTCGGGCAGGCTGTTGAGGTCCGTGGCCAGCAGTGTACCTGTGCTGCTGTGCACCGCGTGGATCCCATCAGGCCCCCTCAGCTCTGGTGGCAGCTTGTGGCAGAAGCGCAGGCTGCCCTGGCCTGGGCTGTGCTCCCCCGGCTCCTCCTCCAGTTCCGTCTGGATCAGCTGCAAGAGGCCGGGACCCCCCCGCATGGCTCAGGGATCCCCACATGCTCAGGGCCGTGCAACAGCTGAGCAGGTGGATGGCCCCAGAGGCCCACCTGCCTGGTTCCTCCCTTACTGCACAAAAGGGACCTGGGGCTTGTGTTGTAGCAGGCCTGTCCAACCTTGAAGTGTTTCTCAAACGGTGCAGAGGGGAACCTTGGGTACTTACGGTGCTACAGATGTGTTCTCAGGACTAGGGGCTTCTTACGAGAGGCTTTTGAATTTCATGTTTTCACTATGATAATCTACAAAGATCCTATGATGCAACTGTGCTATCTGGGTTTGTCACCAAGTTGGCCTCAAGCAGGGTCAACACAGGTTGAAAGTGTCCCCAGGTGAAGTTGGAGGGGATTAATAGGGTGTAGTGGAGACTCACAAATGACGCTTGTGTCCTGTGTGAAACTCAGCTTTAGCTTATTCCAGCTGGGAATGTTGGCTCAGCTGGTAATCTAGGTTTTGAGATCAAGTCTGACTTTTTAAAGGGTTGGCATCACTGCAGGCAAACAAACATATATATAGACCTATTTGACCATACAGCCATTTTCTTTAAATGACATCACTCTTTAAAGGTATCTTCAGGGTTCCTCACCTCTGAGAAACAATGCCGCAGTGCCCACCCCATCTCTGGGAAAGCCCACTGCAGACCCCAGAAAAGCAGAGCCCATTGTCTGGCTTCCTGCACCCCCACTCATTGCTCTCTTTGGCCCTGGCTGCTGAGCTCCAAAGACAGAAGGACGAGGGCAGCAGGAGAGGGAGAGAGAGAGAGAGAGAGAGAGAGAGAGCACGCGCGCGAGCACCCCCAGGGCTGGGGCACGGCACACAGGTCCCTGGCCCGCCCGCTACCTCTGAGATGGAGGAGTGGCAGGAGGCGGCTTTTTGCACCATCCGCTGTGCAAAGAGCTTTTTGAGCCGCAGGTAATCCTCCAGGACCACCTTCAGCAGCGAGCCCTGGGGGAGGGAGAGGGTTAACCCCCACCGCAGCCCTCCCCAGCCTGGCCCACCCCTCCCTCACTCCCATTACAACTCAGATAGGGCTGATGGAAAGTGACGGGGAGTCGGGGAGTCAAGGAGGCACAGGCCTCTAATCCTAGTAGAGGATCAGGAGCAGAGCCTGGCGATAGCTCATGATAGGGCCCCGGTCCCGGGCCACCATGGGCTGAAGCAGATCTTGATTGGGCCCAGTGCCCAGGACACTTTCTGCCCTGTGTTCTTTCCCCCAGTGGAGGGCAGGTCTAGCTGAGCCTGGAGGTGGAGAAAGCTGTTTCCCAGGATCACGCCGCCCCCCCTTGCATCCTCTGGAGGGGGTCCAAGCTCAGCCAGGGCTCTGGCGGTGGAGGTGCAGGAGCCTATAGAAAGGGCTCACCTTGATGGGACCCTCCCGAATGATCTGGCCCAGCTTGGCAATGTTATCGTACTCCTGGATGGCTGCCCGCAAATACCGGTCATCATCAGGCTTGACTGCTGCTGGTTCACGCCCAAAAGTTCCCTGGGGAGAGGGGACATTAGCTGGACCAGAGGTAGACCACGTGTGTGCGCACGCGCACACACACACACACACACACACACACACACACAGAGAGTAGGGGACCACCTCCCAGAGAACCCAGCTCCTTGGCCAGTGGTAGCGAAGACCTGCTCTACCTCTGCCCCATCCCTCATGATTGTCCGCCCTTGGCTCTGTCCCAGGCTCACGTGGGTGCGGGTGGGGCTGCTCCACAGGTCAGCGATCTCACTCAGGTTCTCTGGCAGGTCGTCCTCATGCTCGGCCTGGGCAGCCAGTTCCAGGTTCCGGCAGAAAGGATCCAGCCACACCGGGTTGGCCCTACAGGTAGGGAGCGGGGTGGGGTGAGGAGGGAAGGCTTGAGTGGACAGATGACCCACCAGCCTCACCCCTCAGCCCTGTTCATTTCCCTGGCTAACTGTAGTGCCTTTCCCAGAACTGGGTGGTTGGAGACCGTAAGCAGGCCCCTTGCCCGTGGCACCTGTGGTACCTCCTCCCCACGAGGATGCCAGTAGAACCAGAACAGGACATGTCAATCTGGATCAGCTTTGGTTGGACGCCTCACCCTGTACTCATTGACCAAAGTGAAAGCCCCCCTGGAACCAGGGGCCCATCAGGTGGGGAGCCCAGCTCAGTGACAGTTTGAGAGTGGAGAGAGGGTGGCTGGCCCAGAAGGGGGCGCCCACACCCCAGGTTTCAGCCAGTCAGTGTTTCCTCACTGGGAGGCAGTAAGGAAGTCACCCCAGCTGGGTCCTTGGTAGGCCTCCCAAAAGTGCACCAGGCAGGGCTTGGGGACCCCACTCACCCATCAAAGGAATACTTGTTGGTGTTGGGCATGTCCATGATGTCAATGAAGCCACGATTCCCTGCAGGGAGCGGTTGGGGCATGGAGGGGAGGGCGCCGCCCTGCTGGAGCTGGGGAGCCTGGGGCTGGTCCAGGCCTTGTGAGGCCTGGGCAAGCACTCAAGCTCCCCAGGAGCCCCTCCTGTCCTCTTCACCTCCCCACCCATCACAGCCATCGCTCACCTGCTGAGCCAGCCACTATGGCTTTGAGCTTTCTCTTGTGTCTGGAGAGAAGCAAAGAGAAGAGCTGGTGAGGGAGGCTGGGGCTGGGCTGGCGTCTCAGGGCCCTGCCTGCCTTCACATCTGCCCCAGGAGCAGGGCCGGTCAGCCAACCTCAGAGCAGGGGGCTAGGGGTCACTCACACGGTCCTGTAGTACCAGTTCATGAGGATAAAGAGCATGGCAGCCAGGAAAAGGAGAATGGCCAGGACAATGATCGCCATCTGGGGAGACAGGGCCAGGCGTGAGCAGGTGAGAGCACCAGGGCTGGCGCGGGGGCTGTGGGGCGGGTGCCGCTGGCGTACCTGCAGGGCAGACATGTCATCGGGCAGCCGGACGGAGATGGCGGGCTGCACGTCCAACACGTTGTAGTTCCGGAAAAGGTTCCGCAGCTGTTCCTTGTTCTCGTCAATCATCTGGATCACCCTGGGCAAGGAACGGGGGCCTCAGCGCCCATCCTCACAGCCCACAGGGCTTTCCCTACTCAGCCAGCCTGCCTAGCTCCTGCTTTGGGCCCCTGAAGTGTACTTTCTCCCCAAGCCCACCCAGGTTTGTATCTTACGGGGTTCACCGTCCCCTCATAGAGGATCCTGTTTGATCCTCACAGTCAGCATAACATTCCCATTTTACAGGTGGGGAGAGCAAGGCTCAGAGCCTCCAAGCTCTGCTCATAGCCATAAACTGGTCTTTCTTCCAGCCCTGCCCACCTCTGGGGGAGAGCCCCACACAGCAGGCCTGATGGTGTTGTCTGGGCCTCTGTTGGTTGGTCCCCTCCCCAACTCCAGGGCAGGGAAGCAGATGGACAGTCTGAGCACAGACCCCCGCCTACCGGTCCACGTCCAGGATGCGGTTGGTGTCACGGTTCACCACGTGGATGAGCAGCTCCGTCTGTGCGAAGTTCACCCGACCCTTGTTGTCCACGTGGAACTAGGTGAGAAGGGGCATCATAGGGTGTGGCAGGTGCAAGGGATTGGCTGGGAGGGGCTAGGAGCCCCACCTGCCCTGCCGTACCAATACACCCATCACTGCTGAGTGCTTGCTGAGGACCAAGCATGAGGACCATCACTTCATAGCACAGTGCGGGGCACTATTATTAGCTCCATCTTACAGATGAGGCAACTGAGGCCCAGAGACCTGGAAGGACTTTCCCAAGGCCATGCTGCTAGGAAATGATTGATGGGCATATACCCCCTTTCATGCCCCTGACCGCTCCACAACGCCCTGTCCCTCCTTGTGGCCTAGTCTCCCTTCTTGCTCTACTGCCCCCAGCCCCAGGGTGGGTTCCATGGGCACCTGCACGTCATCACTGTTGACGATGGCACCAGTGATGTTGGAGAGTAGGCGGATGAACTCCTCCTCAAAGCCACGCACGCGGTCGGGGATCTCATTAATGACGATTTTGACGCGCTGGTCATCCCTCAGGATGTAAATGCCGATGATAGCCGTGTCGTTGTGGCCTGCCAGGTCCCGGGCCACAATGTCCACCACAAAGTAGCCGGGGCTGTAGACCATGAAGAGGTCAAAGGTGCGCAGGATGCCATCCACACTCCCTGCAGGAAGAGCCCATGGGTGGGGAGCCGCTCAGGGGCCACCCAGTGCCCCAGAATCCCCCGGGGAAGGGGCAAGGTCCAGGGGCAGGTGACACACCAAAAGGAAGCAGCACGGGCCTGCAGAAACTCAGGATGCAGAGGTCTGCAGAGCCCAGCGAGGGCCTCAGCATGGCTGACAGTGGTCACAAGAGTGTGCAGCCCGTGATGTCAGACCTGCACCTCTTTAGAGATTTATAGTGAACGCTCCTGATTTTTAACTATTGACATTCTGCATATTAAACAAAATGGCTGTGGACTGCGCTAGCCCTAGGATGATGAGTGTGGGACTCTGCTGTCCCCTGCTGGGGTGCCATGGAACACTTCTGAACCACCTGTCTCTCACACGAACTTCAGAATTTGACAATCACAGTAGAGAGATGACCACAGGAGGCAAATCCCAGTCTCCTGTTAGAAAACAGTGGACCTGGGTTTAAAATCTGCCGCTTTATTGTCTGCTTAAAGTCATGGTGTGACTTTTTGCTAAAAGCAAAGTTAGCTAGTTAGCCCCTCTGCATTTTAGTTTATTAAAATTAGAACAGTGGGAGCTCAGAGGATGAAAGGATGGTGCCTGGTGGTGTGATTGGAGGAGGCGGCATATGAACTACAGTTTGATTTGGGGTGAGGGGGGAGCATATCTGAAGGTAGAGGTTCTGAAGGTCAGGATGGTATTCCAGGAAGTGAAGGAAAGTGACCAAAGGCCCAGGGGAGGCTGGTGTAGAGCAGGCTGAAGGAATGGTGAGCAGTTCAGCTTGACTGAGCTGAGCACAGAGCCCTTAAGGTTAGTAGGGGAATGAAGAGCCAGAAAGAGGGGTTAGGAGAAGACCTGGGGAGCCCTGAATGCCAGGCCAAGGAGTCTGGGTTGGCTTTCTACAGACGGAAGAGCAGGGAAGGGACTGGGGCGGGAAGTAAGGTAACGGGACACCCACTGGCACATCCTCTAGAACCTGACCCAGAGAGGCTCAGCCATCCACACAGGCAAGTACACAAGCAGACATGCACACCTGTAGGTACAGGTGCGCTCTCAGTTCTGGCTCCCCAGTGCCTAGCACAGTGCCTGACACGCGAGGGTGAGGTGCACAAGTGGAAAGACAGGTGGATATATGGAAAGGAGAATGGGAAGATGGCGGGCTGCCTGGCTGGCTGGACAGATGGGTAGATGGGAGGATGGATGGATAAATAATGGACGGAGGAGGAAATGGAAAGAAGGAAAACAAGGAAGTGGGTAGGTAGATGTGGATCGGGAGAGGGGAATGAATAGTGGCTTGCTGGCTGGCTGGCTGAATGGATGAATGAAGGATGGATGGGTAGATAAATGAAAGGACTGACATGGCTGGCTGGCTGGCTGGCCACCCATACCCTGTGGTGCCTACACAGACCACCTCATATACTCCAGACTACAGTCCATGCGGTGACAGAGGTCTTGGCTGGAGGCCACCCATATGTAACCAGGCTCCTACCCATGGTGAAGACCTGGCCCACGTCCTCAGAGTCGTTGGCAAAGGCCCGGAAGTAGTGGATGGCCAGGATGCTGTAGAAGACCAGACTGTTGTTGCCAATGTCTGCGTCCAGGGCCAGCACTTGGATCAACTCTGAGCCCATCTTGGCGTCAGTGGCCACTCCTGCGGGAATGGGCAGGCGGGTGTAAGCGGTAGGGCAGGGGCCACCCCACACCCCGTGCCCAGGCTCCAGTCCCTGCACCTGCAGTGTATTCAGCCTTGGTGAAGCGTGGTGGCTGGTCGTTGATGTCCTCTATCACGACTCGCACCTCCTGAAGGCTGAGGTCATTGACCAGGTCCAGGTCTGGTGAGGGCCCACGGGGAGGTGTCCAGCTGCGATTGCTCGACGCCTTGACGATGAAGGAGAAGAGAGCTTCACGCTCCCGGTCCAGGTCCCGCAGCACCAGCAGACGCCCATCGGGCAGAAGCTGGAAGTTCATCTCTTCGTTCCCAGCTGAAGGTGGGACCATGGCACAGGGTGAGGGGGCAGGGCCAGGGTGGGCATATTGGGGTCCTCTCCAGCCCCAGGGTAGGCAGGACACTAGCCCCATCAGGCCCCACCTGCAATGAAGTAGTACACGATGGCGTTGGGGCCCTCATCTGCGTCCACAGCGCCTGTCACATTGCCCACGAGGGTGCCACGTGGTGAGTGCTCAGGCACTGTCAGCAGCTGGTACTGGGGGCTGCCTTTCTGCAGGAGGAAGGGGGTTGTCATCCCAGGAAGCCAACGGAAGGCCCGAGCTTCCAGCTCCTACCAGGGGGTCCTAGGTAGGACCTTTGTGGGTGCTGAGGGAGTTTACTGCCCACAACTTGTGGGGTGAGCAGAACACCTGTAACCTCAAGGGAACAACGGCTGGGCCTGGGAGCCCCCAGCTCTGCCCTCAGGGATGTCATCCAGTGACATCCTCCATGAAGGCAGGGCTGGGCTTGGCATGTTCTCCAAAGTCTCCCAGGCCCTGAATGGATGTTTGAATGAGGGCTCACACTCTCTTATATGCACGTGAGTGTGCACATAGGCCCACACTCACAAAGAACCTCCAGGGAACATATCCCACGTGCACACAAGAAGAAAAACCACTAAGTCAGAGAGTCTGAGTCCACACGAGGGGCTCAGCCCCAGCTCGTAAAGCACAACTGACTTTCAGGCTTCCTGTGTACAGTGTGCAATCAGGAGAGTGTCAGCTCCAGGAGGCAGGCATTTTTGTCTGCTTTTTAAACGGCTGACTAGTGCCTTGAAATAATAGCTGCTCAATAAATATTTGTTCTGTGAAGCGTATTCAGGTTTCCGTGTGCAACCACATGTGTATATCGTAAAGGGTGCACAGGGGAGTACGTGTACGTGTGTGCTTGCAGCCAGGGAGTCCCTGTGTGGGCATGACTGGTGCAGGGGGTGGGTGAGAGCTCACTGGAGGCCTCACGAAGAGGGGCTCGTTGTCGTCGATGTCGTCCAGGACCACCAGCATTGGCTGCATGGTTTCATATGGCACTGGCTGACCCAGGTCGCTGGCCACCAGGATGAGCTGGAGGGGGGGGGGGAGCACAGTCAAAGGAGGAGTCAGAGGGCCCCACGTGGGCACTCCCCAGGGCCCACGTCACCACCCTCCAAGGCATTCTAGGTGGGAAGGAAGGCGGTGACCCTGTGCCCAGAGGAAAGCTCTACCCTCGGCCCCGCGCCTCACTCCAGGCCCCGCCCTCTTACACTGTACACCGCCTGCGTCTCACGGTCCAAGCGCAGCGCTGTCTGGATGAGGCCGCTGATTGGGTCGATGGTGAAGTACTCCCAGTCGCGATTGCCCGTCGACTTCAGGAAGCTGTAGCGCACGGCCCCATTGAGGCCCTCGTCCTGGTCTGTGGCATAGACCTCGTACACGTTGGAGCGCAGTGGGATCTCCTGTGGGGCGTGGGCGCATGGGAGGGAGGTTCCGGGGGCATCTGAGAGAATCCCAGCTCCCAGGCTCTGATGGAGCTGTCGTTCTTTCCCTTCCCGTATCAGAATGTCCTTGCCATCTTTCAGCATCCTTAGGAGACCTCTGCCTGCTTGGCTGGACTCTCCTGGAGTCTGAGCATCTGCTAGAACATCCCGTCGCTCCACTACTAGCTAAGGCCGCTGCCCACTGAATGGTCCAGCCTGGGATCCACCATGCTCCAAACCCTCTCAGGGTGACCACCCTCTGGAAGCTCCCTAATCTCTCAGATCCCATGGTATGCTAAGGTTTAGTAGACAGAAGAGGGATAAAAACGCTGAGGCCACAGCCACCCTCTGTTCCTGGGTCTGTTTTGCTCTCTGCTACCCCAATCACAGGAGTTCTAGGTATCTCCAAATAACACCATCCACCCAATGGGGTACCTGAAACTGGGGGACAGGCAGGTAGGGTGACATGGTGAATACAGACTGGACAGCATGTGAGCCGGACATGCCACTTCACCTCTGAGCCCCAGTCTCCTGAATCCCTGAGTTAAGTGTAAAAATCTAGTTGACATCACACATTGACCCATGATAAGGCTGCCCAGGACACCAGAAAAAGAGCAAGTTTCATTGCTTTTAGTTGAAAAATTACCAGCTTAGCATGGTTTCACCGTTAATCTCATTGATCATGGCAATCAGAAACTGAATGGAAGTTACAACTAATTAATAGAAAGTGAGATGACCAATAGGTAATTACTTAACAAATGCTGGTTGTTGGGGAGACTTAAATCTTTGAAAATATGGAGCCCTCGAAGGGAAAAATAAGTGAGTGGGGCCTTTGGTGTGGAAAAGAACTAGATTATTATGAAGCCATATCCTGCTTCATTCCACAAGCAGCATTTGAGGCAGCTTACAAGAAAGTATAAATTATAATAAGAGTGAACAAGTTAAAAAAAAAATCAGGGTAAAAGAAAAGAAATGGTTGGCAGGAAAATGGGAACTGAGGGATAGGAAGCAAGGTGTGTGTGCTAAGACCTTGCAGGGCCACTCAAGGTGGGCTGATCATTCTGAGCCCCCTAGTGGGCAAAGCGAAGAGGACCACGGAATCATTACAGGAGATACAGGTAAAAGCAAATCAAAGTGTTAAAAACACAGTGTTTCCCAGAGCTCAGCCCTGGCAGAAATTTCTCCCGTGGGATCTCAAAGAGGAGATAGAGGGGCGGCCCACTGGCTCAGTTGGTTACAGCGCAGTGCTCATAACACCAAGGTTACTGGTTTGATCCCCACATGGGCCACTGAGATGCACGCTCCACAACTAGATTGAAGACAACTACTTGACTTGGAGCTGATGGGTCCTGGAAAAACACATTGTTCCCCAATTAAAAAAAAAAGAGAGAGTGACAACAAGGACTTAATGCTGACACTCTGAGATGCGGAGACATGCTCAAGTTGGGGGAGCAAAGAACAAATGGGAAACACCCTGACTGTACCACCAAGGAGCGTTTTGGGCCTGGGTGCTGAGAGGAAGAGGGGGAGGCTAGGAGATGGGGGAGGACTTCCCTATCTTTACATGGCAGTTTAGAGCAAAGAACGAAAGAATCGGAGAGGTTCTAGGAGCTCAGCCACTTCCTCTTGTTTCTTATTTTGATGCCCATCCTCACCAGGCTGTCCTCACGTGGGTATCAGCAGCAGGAACAGCAGACAGATGGAAGGGGCACGTACGTTTATTTTGAGACAAGTATAGGGGAAGTGGGTTTCTGGGGAGACTGACCTTCTTGGAAGACATCTAAGAGCAAGAGATGGAGCTCCTACTTTTATTAGTCCCGTTGTGCAGATGGAAAATCAAACTTAGAGAAGTCACTTGCTCCAGGTCATTTGTCTGGTAAGCGATAGACGTAACCCCAAGACCTTCTGCTGACACAGCCCATATTACTAACCACTGTTCAGTACTGCCCTGTGTGGCATGGAGCAAGTCCGTTCCCGACCCTGGCCTCAGTTTCCCCACCTTCACCGTGGGGACCCTGTCATTCTCTCAGGCGTGACTGTAGGATGAAGAAGTGGGCTGGATATTGGGAGGGGAGAATGTTGGGCAGGAGGCCCCCTGGGGACAGCAGTACCTCTTTGATGTGGAGGATGGTGCCGTTGGGTGGGCGCACAAACACGGGGCGGTTGTCATTAACGTCGATGACCTCCACCAGGAGCATGGTTGTGCCCCAGAGTGGAGGTTCCCCGCCATCTGTGGCCACCACGGTCAGGTTGAATCTCTCGTAGGAACGCAGTGGCCGCTGTGTTGTCACCAGGCCAGAGTCCTTGTCCACGCGGAAGGCCTCTGGCAGGTGGGGCAGGAAGGCAGGGCATGGCTCTGGCTGAAACACCCTTCCCACGGCAGCCTGCCCCCCCTCCCCCCCCAAGGCATCACGGGTGGGGAGCAGGCTACGTACCCATGCCGGGGCCCTCCAGTGAGTAGGCCAACTCCGCATTGGAGCCCTCATCCTGGTCGGTGGCCATCATGGTGATGACAGAGGTGCCCGGTGGCTCATTCTCATACACGCTCGTGCTGTACTGGGGCTTGGAGAACTCTGGCCGGCAGTCATTGACATCGAGCACCTGGATCACCACCTGGCGGGGGGCAGGGGAGTTTGAGGTCAAATGTCAGGAGCATACTGGGGGCTACGTCAGGTGACCCAGTCACATACAAATAAGAAGAGGTGGACAGTGCCCATTGTTGGAGTCTGACCTGAAACAATTTATTTAACCCTCTGAGCCTCAGCTTCCTTAACTGTATATCGGGGACAATATGTCTATCTCTCAGGGCCTTGGGAGGCACCTTCGTGCTGGTGTATGCTAGATTGTGATGGTATGTGGGCAGTGCCTGGCCCGAGGAGACGCTCGGCAGCTAACTGTAGTTAGCAGATTTTCCGTGAGGGCTCTGAAGCAGGAAGCCCTCCCGCCCACCTCCTACTCTGCGCTGTGCTCCTTCCTTGAGTGGTCCCATACATCTCACTCTGAACTCTGGACCCTAACGCTGGATGGCGATTCCCCCACCCCTGAAGGCCCCCTCTTGACCGGGATTTGTGTCTGGTCTGAGACGTGGCGCTCTCTGCTGGCCCTGCTGCAGCCTAGGGCAGGTCCTATGGACACACCAGACCGGAGGGCTTTTTTTTCCCCTCCGGGCTGCTGTGGCCCAGCCTGACTGCACTCTCACCAGAGCCTTTCCTAGCAATTTTAAGAGACCCTTTCAGCGCATGAAGCACTTTCCACCCCCAAACCCCTCCACCTCCCGGACTCAAGACCGTCCTGGGAGGGAGGCAACCTTAGTCTTCTGACTCCAAATACCGTGCCTTTCCCCGTACAGCACACGGCTGTGTGACAGGGACAGGGTTCAGATGTGTGTGAGTGCTCCCAGCCAGCTTCTCACCCCCTCACCCAGGAGAGTGGTTTTTTTGGATGGTGGGGGAGGACTGGAAGAATGAATGCAGAAAGACATGACCGGACAAGGCAGAAAGAAGTGGGGAGGAAGAAAGAGACAGCAAAGCCTCAAGAAACAGGATTTTGGATAGAACTGGGGTAGAGCTTACAAGGTGGGATACCGGTCCCAGGGTTGGCAACTGTGTGGATGCTAGAACGGCACTGGAAATGGGGTTGTGAATTTGACCCCTCATGAATGTTCTTTAAGAAACATAAACAAAGATAATTGCTTTATAATTATGTTTGGTTGCTGGATTGTTTCTTTCACTGAGACGCCATGGAGACACTGGGCCATACGGAGCCCCAGGCTTTATTTGGGTTATACCCAAGTATGTTTAGCTGCCTTTGCAGGGGTTTGGCACAAGAGATTTCTGCTAGAGTGCCCATGTCCCTAAGCCACAGCCATCGTGACCCACCCAGCTGAGCTCCTGCCTTCTCCTTCCTGCCACCATGTCGCTGAGGGACCAGGTGGCCCTGCCCCTGCTCTGATTTCTCTCACGGTTTGGCTTACTGCCTCCACGACCCTAATCCTTAGTGTCCCCAGCCCAGGCTTGTGCCTCTCACCTGCACTGAATTTTCTCGACGGTTGCTGGCTATATCCCCAGGGTTGTCTTTGGCAATGGCAGTCAGGATATAGTGGTCCTTCTTCTCCCGGTCCAGAGAGGACAGCACATAGATGTCACCCTAGTAGGGGCAGGGAAGGGTCAGGTTCATCATCAATCCAGCAGATATTTATTGAGCATCTACTATGTGCCAGATACTGTTCTGGGCTCTAGAGATACAGCACTGAACAGAAGAGACAGCAGCCCCTGCCCGCATGGAGAGTCCACTCTAGTGGTCTTCTTGCCCTCACTACCCTAGTCCACCTGGAGATGGGATGAACAGCTCAGGGCGAAGCTCACTACCTGGCCAGGCATACAGTAGCACTCCATAAGTATTTGCTGTTTATAGGGCCAGGCCAGGAGCATGCCTGATTGTTCATACCAAGCAGGAAGAAGAGAACGACGCTGAGAGGGCAGCATGCAGGGGGATGTGGGCAGGGGAAGGCAGTGGGAGGGAAGCCCAGTTCTAGCCCAGGAACTGGGAAAGACCCTGGCCAACCAACCACTCCCATGCCACAGGGCTGTCTCTATACCGAAACAGCAGCTTTTAGCTAATTTGCAGACATTTGAAATGATCATCCACCTTTCCTCTTGAGTTTCTGCTCTCCCACAAGCCTGAGACTCATGGGAGCATAGGGGATGCGCTGAGGAGAGGGCCACACGTATACAGGAGGTGCTCAAATACTGTGCCCACTTTCTGCAGAGCTGCCTATGCCTCTCTTTCGACAGTTTCAAAAAGCAGTCACAAGGACTTGGATCAAATTTTCTAGTCTCCTGGGAACACATCTCAGGAGTTTTTGTCCCACAGAGGGCTAGTTACAAAAGACTTCGGCCAATTCCTTTCACATCTGCTGGGACAGAAAGGCCATCGTCTGCAGGTTGTCTGGGACTCTGAGGACAGGTCTTGCTGACTTGGCTAAAAAACCCTGAGGCTACAGATGTTTGGGTGGCAGGACGCAGAAATGCGGGAATGACTACAATACTTTTGGTGGCTTCTCAGCCTATGACGCTCTGGGCCTTTCCCACCCCTACTCCCCAAACCCATGCCCTCCCCTGCCCGCTTACCGTCGTGGGGTTGATGGAAAACTTGCCCTCTCCATTCCCGAGGCCGTACTCAATGACAGCATAGTTGCCCGAGTCAGCATCAGTAGCAGTGACCCTCAGAATGACTGTGCCTACAGGCACATCCTCAAAGATGGCTTCCTGAAGCCCGGTGGGCAGGGAGAGAGAGTAGGCCAATGTCAGTCCTGGAGTCCCTGCCCCTGGGAACGTACTGATGGGGACAACCCAGGGCATCAAGCTGCTCATGGGGTGGTCACTCCCATGAGGCTCAGAGGCTTGCAGGGTGGTAGCGGAGGATGCCCAAAGGCCCCAAGGAATGGGCACAGGTCCTGGAGCCAACATGTTGGCCTGGCCACCCACCTGGTAGGAAGGCTGGTCAAAGATGGGGTTGTTGTCATTGATGTCCACAATCTCCAGGTAGACAGGGATCTCAGCTGCCCGAGGTGGGGACCCATTGTCCGAGGCCCTCACGGTAAAGTTGAGCCAGTGCACTTCCTCATAGTCCACTGTCCGGTTGGCAATGACCTTCCCTAAGACACAGAGGCACCCGTGCCATTTTGGCCATTCCTCACTCATGGAAACTCCCCAAAGTATGAAGAGGAGGATCGGGGGCTTTGAGGGGCAGATGTGATCCATTGAATAAGGAGCATGGCCAGGGAGCACTGCCCAGTGTGGCAGGCCAGGAAGCTGAGAGCAGCTGGCATCCAGCTATTCTCCTCACTGGAGGAGTGAGAAAGCTTTCCCCAAGTCAAAGGGATGAACATCAACATGCCCAGGACCGCCTTTGAGACACGCCCTCTTGGTTTTCTTGCTCCCTAAGCGATACTAAAAGAGTCAGTCCTCTGTATCTGCAGTATCAATCTGCTGCTGGTTGAATCTATGGATATGGATGGAGGGCCAACTATGGGACTTGAGCATCTGCGAATTTTGGTATCTGCGAGGGGTCCTGAAACCAATCCCCCGTAGATGCCAAGGGATGACTATAGTGGAAGCTTGGGTGGTAGAGATGGTGGTGGAGAGTATTCCAGCTTTCCAGCAGAACTGAAAGGGGCTTTCCATCCCTATCTAGGGCCAGGCACTCTGTCTTTTCCTCTAGTTTGGGCATCTGGTTGTCACTAGAATGTTGGTCATATGGGCTCTGGCCCAGCCCACTGAGAGGCCATGGTGTGGCCCCAACTGGAGGGTGAGAATGGGCTGTGGTCCCTCTTGGAGTCTAAGCAGGCATACACATGTCCCTCAACCCTTCTCTGGCAGGTTTCCTACCTACCTGCTGAGGAGTCTTCCAGCTGGACGTAGCCTGGGGGCATCTGGTCCAGCAGGGTGTAGGTAATGAGCCCATTGAGGCCTTTGTCAGGGTCCACGGCTGCCACGGCGATGAGTGTGGTGCCCGGGGTGGCCCCCTCCAGGACCTGCTCTGTGTAGTAGGTGATCCCGAAGGGCTTGAACTGGGGCGTGTTGTCATTGACATCCAAGATATTGACTGTCAGCTTGGCTGGAGTGAAGGCAGAGGGTGAGGGTGACATGAGGGGCACCAATATGGCTAGGCCAGGCCTTCCTAAGTCTCAGCCATGCCCGGAGAGAGGATGGCAGCATCTCACAGCCCCTCCTGGGATTACTGAGGCTTGACTCAACCCTTGAGCAGTGGCATGTCACCCTTTTCATTTGGTCTGGTTGCGCATTCTTCCATAGGGAAAGGGGTTTGGGTTCCACCAGTTAGCTGGGTAACCTCAGTGAAGCCCCTGGCCCTTACTGTGCCTCAGTTTCCCAACCTGTCCAATGAGATAGGACTAAGATGCTCTTTAAGACCCTTTCCATGATCAGCCTTCTGTCTCTCGTCTGAATCGTCCTGTCTATATAACCAGCCTGGGCCCTTTGCTCTCTGAGTGTAGGACATGTCGGGGATGACCAAGTCTGCACTTCCTTCCTGAAAACTTGGTCCTCTGGGCTGTAAAGATAAGCAGACAATATCTGCCAAGCCTATCTCCCCACTCCAGCAGTTGTCCTTGACTCATGGAAGAGTCCACTTGAAGCCACCCCCTCCCTACGACCCCCTCCCTGCCCCCCACACTTCCCACACAAAATCCATGCCTCTAGCAGCCCCTCTTAGCTCACGCCCCCGGCTGCAGACAGGGTGGCTTGTGCCTGCCTGTGGAAGGCAGCATCCGTACTCCTCTCTTCTCTGACATAGTGCCCGTGCACCCCAATGTGGTGTCTGTGGCTTCAAATCACCTTTCCTTGCACTTTCCTTCCTCTGGACTGGTCCTGTGGCTTCCTATCAGATCTGAGGCTCCTGTCTTACATTCTAGCCACACCCTCGTTACCAGTTCTTACAACTATTCTGACCTAAGTCTCTGTAACCCATCCTTTTCTCAGTTTCTATCCAGTCTCTACCAAGCCTCCTTCCCACTCTGAGCTTTGGGGTTCATAAACACACACAACTCTGGGCTTCTGGGTCCCCCATTGCTGAGCTCTGCCTAAAAACTGGGACGCACAGTCATTTTGGGCCTCATTGTAGCTGCCACCTTCCATGTCCCTCTAGGTCCTCCTGCTTCCTCCCTGGGGCCAGGCATGTGCCTGTTGCTGGCCTGCCCCCCAGCCTTGATCAACTCTGA